TCCACATTCACATCCCTGCATCCCAATTTAATGGAAATGCTAAGGGTTACAAGTTTCTCGCCAAGCTTGCACAAGCCACACAACCATAACTGGTTTTAGAATCATTTCTCATTAGCATTTATTTTTCAAATGAAGAAATATTTCCAGCATATTTAAAAACATGAAGCCATCTGTTAAGTATTTAGTGGCCACAGCTATGGGAACTACAGGCAGCAAAAAAACACAGCCATGGCCATGCTTCCAGCAGCATTTCTCATCCACATGCTCCGGATGTGGCCTAAGTACACATTCAGAGGCTAGACAAGTGGTGATAACATTTGTTTTCTCCTCTTCTCCACCAGGCCCAAGATTTTATGCAAACAGTAGCAATTTTTTGCTAGAGTGCAAGATATGCAGTTTGAGTAATTACTGATATTTTTGAATATTAATAGTCTGACATCAATATGAATATCTTAATTTAGCTTTTTATTAATTAGAAGGTTTTTTGTGGTTGTTGTTTTGTTTTAAAAAAAGCACCTTAAAAGAGATCAAACCAAGTAATGACAGGAGCAGAGGAAGCACAAAGCCACTCCAAGCTTCCCCTGCCAACCTGCCTTAAATCTCTTCTAAAACTCTGCACAGCTGAACACACTGAACAGCTGAACAGGCACTGGGGCAGTTGCTCCAATACAGACATTTCAAAAGCACCCACAGGATTTAAACATCTCCCACAGCATGGCAAGTAGATAGGCCAACATTCCAGATTTTCTGGCTTTCTCCTTCCATTCCCAGGAGAAACAGCAGCAACAGCAACTTTTGCATGTTTCAGCTTTAACAAGACTCTGCCAGAAACAAGGCCACTGGGACATCACCACAGAGAGTTGCCAAAGCTGAGACTAATCAGCATCATATTTGAAAAAGCAGCATAAGGGCCCAGGGCAATAAAGGTCAGACCAGCTCCCTGTGGACCAGGGTCAATCATTTTTATTTCAGTGACACTGAACATCACTTGGCCTTACCAACACTCACACCTCAACTGTTTTCAAGATAACTTAATTAGGGCAGTGCCAATAACTATTGAAAAGCACACGAGGATCATTTAAAGTGAAAGCAGAATTCAGGGTAGCAAGGTAACATTTTCTCTGTCACTGCGTGAGTTGACAGCATAAGGACCAACATTCCCAACTACATTATCAACAGGCAGACACCAGCTTGAGATCAGTCAGCTCCAAACAGGCTGTTTAGCTGTAGCTGTTGGCAAAGACATCATACTTTGATGAGAACGCACAACATCTGCCCAGAGAGAAGTGAATGGGTTCTCTTTTTCTGATCCATTCACTTCTCTATAGATCCCTTCAACAGCCTTTCTCAGAGTCACTACAGACCACAGCCAAATCTCCCTGCACTAAGTTAAACGTGCAAACTCAGAGCAAGAAAAAACATGAACTCACGCAATGAGCAATCGACACATTCTGCCTCACTCAGTACTTCACAAAGATGTAGTACCAACTCTTTTTTTTTTTTTTTTTTTTGCAACCAGGCATTTCTACAGCTAACCAGTACTATAACAGTTATTAAATGCAATTAATGACAGATTCTCCTTAACATTCAAGAAATCCCACAGCAAAATGACGCATTCACCTGGTTTCAAAAGAGGAGCCTCTCAAGCCTCAAACAGAGGTGCTCTCTCCCTTTCTCTCCAGAAACCTGCAAAGGTGTGACTGCTCAAACAGTGGGAAATGCAAGATGTTACTGCTGCATGACTAACCTTTTTTATACGCATCATTAAAAAATAATAATAAAAAAAGATCCTGCGGTAATTATTTTTGTCCCCTATTTTACTATAAAAGCCTCAATACCACTGGCTCTTTTAGCAGCCATCAGTAAGAACATTTTTGCAATTTTAAGATCTGCAAGAACTTAACTCTTTGGATATTGCTGAAACAGAGTGAGCAAATTTCTAAAAATGCAAGCAACTAAATCTGGAAAAAAGCTTCCTCACTACATTCACACTTACCAAGTTACACCTCCTGAATCAATGACAGGAAGTGAACTTCATGGCCTGACCCATGAAGCCAAAAATCTACCAACATGCAGGTTGGTTTACAGTCATACTCAGTGCAGACACTGAAGCCTGACAGATCAGAAGTTACCAAAGTTATGCAAAGTACCTAGACTCATGCCTCTAGATACCTGTTTTAAGTAAAATAGTCTGCATTAAGAATAATTTTGTTTTAAGAAAGAGATATGCTATACAGATACACTTATGCTAGACAAATATATTATTCAGAAACTAGATGACATTTCAGATATCAGATTTAATTTTAGTAGCCACTGAGGTCACGTACTTCAGACACAGGGATTACAGCAGCATGATCTCAAGTCACAGGCCAAGTTCAGACAGGCAAAAGTTTTTTCATAATGTCTATCAGTATCCCTAAATAAAGCATGAGGATACACCTCCCTTGATCTAGGAAACCCAGCCCACCAGACTCTGTGGGTAAACCATGAACTTGACTTGGATACATGCAGTGAAAGAAAAAGCAAATTTCAAGGCCAACACTTTGTTTCTGAAGCTTTTGTTTCTCTTGAGGAAGCTGCAAATTAATGTTGCTATTGTTTGTCAGAAATTTTCCCTTCCACTTCCAGTTTGCAGCTTAAACTGATAAGGTGTTTTCCATTAGAAAGACACTACCCTGGCTTCAAGTTAAGCTAGAGTATTAGTATTATATACACAAGCCCAAAGCTTCAAGCCATTTAAAAAAAAATCTCCACAAATGTTTTAAATTCAAGAGAGACAGTCTAATATATTCCAAAACATTCACATTAAGGATAAGTTTATTTTAAAAGCTAAAATTACATATTTCAGATCTTAAATTACAAAAAAAACTCTATAAATATCTATGAGACACATACAGATATGATATTATTACTAAGCAATGAGGTACAGAACTCAGTTACAGCACAGATGACATGCTGTACTCCTCCCAGGCTGCCGAGTTAAAAACATTGCACAGCTGCATATGAAAGGGGAGATTAAGATCTTCAATTTGCCATGAACACAGGGCTGTGGCAAGCATAACCAAATTCTTCATACATCATAAGGTGACTTTAAGCTTGGTCACATTGCACATTTTCAGGACCAAAATAAAAGAACAATCAATTCCCATAACCGCTCTGCTTATGTACAGCACATATAGTCAGATTGAGTACAGACATAAGCACACAGGTACAGAATATATAACAAGACTCACAGCAGTTTTGGGACTACAGTAAGAACATGACTTAAGCCCACTACTGCAAATCTCAACTATCATTTCCTAATGAAAACAGTCTCAATGTATTTCAGGTGTGCCTTTATGAGATTGGTTACAAAACCCAACAGTTAGTTCAACAAGAGACTAAACAAAAGTTATGATTCTAAACCACTTTTTCCCTGCTCTCCCCTTTTCAACCCCCACCCTGAATCTCATCTCTCTTCATATTTTGTTAGAAAAGGTTATGTAATAATCATCAAGATAAAGAAGCCTCAAGAAAAAAAAATTGCTTTCAACACCTGAAGGACAAGAGTCTTGCAGGAAGGATAGGAAATAACTAAGGCTCATCTCCTGCCCTTCCACAGGCCATTTTCCTTGCAGACTTCTCAGATTTATTCTGTTCAGCAGGTAACAGACAACTCAAAAACAATTATGATCAAATTAAGTTTCTTCTAAGCATTATTAAGACTTGGGATTTCTATCAGCATCTCCAATCTCATCAGCAACTCCCATGCTCAACAACTGACACACCTGAGGTCAGCTGTGTTTAGATAAACTCTTGCACATACTCTCAAAGCTAAGATATGACTGACAGCTACAACCTGCAGTCATCAATTCCATGTGACTTTCAGAAATCTCAGACTTCCCTGAGCAAATCCAGAAACAGAAGCAATAGTGGCAGTAACACCGGTAGTATGCAGCACTAAGACAACAAATGACAGAGACACTACTGCAGTTGCACCTCTTATGCATTCTTACATCTCCACTGCATTTTGAAGGCAAAAACAACACAAAATCTCTTCTATGTATGTAGGAGATGAAGTTCCCAGGATGAGCACAGACCATTTACATCAACTACTACACTTAAATTTTCTTGACCACATGTTTAACAGACATATATACAGAATCATTTCAGACGAGTGTTTGAAGCCCAGTTTATACACAGCATTTAAATTTGGCAAAAGTTGTGTAAAAGGAAACAAAAGAACAACTATCCCTTTCAATAAAGGGTACAAATATACACCAGGGTGTTTACACAGAAATTTTAAGTAACTGAGTCACTCCCCATGGTTTTTCAGCAGAACCCAACATGCATGCGAGCCTATGAAAGTGTTCAGCTGTCACGTCAGGGGAGCTACTACAACCCTGTGACACAAGGTGGGGGGGGAGGGGGGTGCACAAGGGTCAGTTCAAGGACATTACTTAAGAGCACTATTTTCCAGGCTCCGAAGATATTACCATACTTGAGTGTTATAAAGGAAGACAATTAAAACAACTGTAACACCAAAAAGAGGTGCCTTGAAGATATGTACTAATTCATTTTTTTCTTAATTAATACTACTTGGGTTTGTAATTGGTTTGATAACACTAAAAACATTTATTTATAATTTTTTGCAGGCAGCCCCTTTGAGGAAGGATTACTTAAACAAGTTCTATACCCACAAAAGACTATTCTAATTTCAGTAACCCTAGAGGGGTTGAGATGCACAGCCTTTTTGCTACACAAATCTTCATCTGTTATCACTGCCTTCAAAGACCATTTCCTCCTTTTTTCTAAAAGGGAAAATCAGCCTCTAGTCATGAGGGATAGAAAAGGTAGCATTATTGTTTCATATAGAAAGTATGGCTGAAAGTGCTTTTATACAGACACAACTGCCTTTCCATTTCCTGTGGCAAGTTTCTTTAACAAGTCACCAGCTTCTGCACTAGATGGAACAATGTAACACTCACCATAAACCAATTACTAGAGAGCAGAAATCTCACCTGATAATAAGTCTTAATGCTTCTGACCAAGATGGTCAAGTTTTGAACCCGAAGATAAATGTCATTATTTACATGCTTGTTAACACGTTGGTTGGTTGGCCGAGGATCTCTACAAAAAATAAAAAAGGAAAAAAAATTTTTTGGTTCCCCTGGTAGTAAGAGTTAATATCTTGACAATGCACCATTAGGAAGACTTTTAACCATTTATGTGTTAAATGCACTGACATAATTACCCATAATGCACATTAATTCAAAATCCAACAAGCACAATACCTTTATATCTATGTACAACTTGAAAATCTTTCCTGTGTACCACTAGACAACTATTTCAGGTTAACCCACACAGTAAAACTTGGCAGCTTCCCTCCTTATTTCCTTGAACCAGGAAGTATATTTAGTTTGTGTGCATTAGACCAAGGCAGTCTCTGATAACAAAGATTTTATCTTATTCGAATAAACGGAAGCCTAGGAAAGACTACCAAATACTGGCTTTAAGGAGAGCTTATCACTTATCAGTGCCCATTATTCAAAGAGCAAAAGACAGATATACTCTGTACTTAAGTGGTGAAGGGAAAGGAAGACTGCACTTTTCATCATGCTTATATCATGTGGTCACACAACTCTCATGCCCAGTATGCAGTGAAGAACAGCTCTCACTAAAAATAGGATATAAGCATTGGTGCACATACACCCATTAAAAATAAAGTGCAAAGATTAGGGAGAGGAAAGGCAACTAAACTTTCTTTAAAAAGAAACAAAGCAAATCAAAATTGTACTCGAATAAACTTTATTTCCTGGATAGGGACAGGGTAGAAGTCAAAAAGCTGTAAATGATTATTACAAACATGTACATATGCACCATAACATGTTGCAAAAGTAGTAGTCTAAAAACCTTTATCTGCTAGAACTATAGATCAAAGCCATGCAATTCCTCTATAATAAACTCTTATCAACAGACTCCTACGCAATCCAAACACCTGCCTCCCAGAGCTCTACTATGTCTGTTAATTAAGCCATTCACACCTATTTCAGGGCCAAATGCTCAATTTGGGTGTTGACAAGGAAATAAGAGGAAATAATCCAGTATATCATTTAAAAATATATCTGGCAATGTTTACAGAAGTATGTCATTTTTTTTAAATGCAGGATCATCCCAAAGCATCTAATGAAAGCAATGCTATGTACACAAATATGACAGCATATGTAGATATTCCACAGAGACAGTGAGAGAAGTGGTCAGAAAATAACATGAGACTTTCTATGCAATAGGGGTTCAAGCAAATAGAAGCACAAACAATCAAAGCTCCCCCACCATAAGTCAGCATGACTCTACATGGCTTTAGAGCAGCAATGGATTTTGTACCCTGCTTATCACATACTGATACACATCCTGAAAAAGGAGAGCCAATTGCAACAAGCTTTTAGAGTATAGATACTAACAGGTACGTAAAGTTTCTCATATCCGCTTTTCCATTAACAACTCTGTCTTACTGATGCACAGATACACAGTGTGGAAGCCACGCATACAGATGCAGTTTGATGACGTGGCTCTACAGCAACACAGCAAAGAGAAGCATAAAGGGCACCTGAGCTTCAACATGAGATCATCTTTCCTGGAGTATCCTCCATGCAGATTATGATAGGCTTGAGTGTTGCAGCAAAAACATATCTTAGCCTTTGTAGGCAAAGTCATGCCCATGAACTGGGAAGCTAAGAGGGAAGGAACTTGCAATAAAAAGAAGCTGACTGAACAGAAAGGGCAACTTAAAACTCCTCTTTACACACACATGAGCTCCTGCATGCCAGAAGCTGCCATACCACTATCAGGCACCGACCCAGCTCTAGAATGGGGAGAAAAGGCTTCAGCTGCTTGGCAGTGGCCATCTTAAGTGATGAGGGACATATATATATTACTGTATTTCCACACATACAATCTGTACATTGCCTGTTAAAAAAAAATAAAATGCTGTCATGTAGCAGCAGTTTAACTTATTCCCATACTGCAGGCACTAGGAGGAGTTTAACTCAGAATCCACTCTCCCCAGCAGCTCCCCTGCCTCCTGACCCTTTCCAGCTTACTTGCTTTTCCCCAGAAGCTTTCCTGCCTTTGAAACCCATCCCTCCTACGTATTCTCAGCCTCCAAATCTCCTTGCCTTTGCCTCTACTCCCTCTGAGTAGAGGGTGAGGCTGCGCACACAAAGCCCTTCCGCTGGCCATGGGGCCACCACGACCACCATTTAAGCTCTGAGCTGTACCAAAAGCAGGACTGGGAAAATGAGGCAGGACTGGGAAACCTGCCAAGTTCCCAATTCCCCAAGAACTTGTTTAACAACCAACACACCACAACCCTCCCCCAAGCTCACACAAAACAGAGCACAAACGCACAAAGTACACCCTGGCCAAAGCAAAGGGGAGGCAGCTTCTTCAATACTTCTATACAGCATAACCATAGGCCTTGGATGAGGATTTTCAAATATGTAGGACATGGAGCAAGTCTTGTCTTACAAGAAGGATTTTTCTCATTTGCTCCTTAGGTTACCTTCAGAGAAGACCGTTTGCAACAGTGAGCAGGTAATCTACCACAATCTCTGCCTGAATTCAACTAAGAATTTCTGAACACAACCTTACTGTGATTTCTTTTTTTGTCTATTGATGGCTCATCTTTCCCTTAAAAAAATCAATTCTTATATGTTTTAATTTATTAAGAAAGCACTTGCCTCTTCTGATCAAAAAATTTATCTAAATAGGAGAAGGTGTAACTGAGGGCACTCCTGCACAAGCAAGTGAGAAATAGCCAGGCCAAATGGTCAGGAGGAATATCTCAAACCTTACTATACATAGTCATTTTAAAGAGTAACCCGATTTCTATGCTGTCTTTATGGGCTTGGGGGTTGAGGGCAGGGCAAAGAAAAGTGTGTTTAATAAATAAAGGTGAGTCACAAGTTTAGGATGCATAAGGCAGGCGACAAAACTGCTGGCATCAATAAAATAAAAATAACAAAAATACAGAAAAAAAAATGTTTTCTAAATTCAAAATGACAATCTATTTAAACAATTTCAGACAACTAATGTAGGCAAGCAATAGAGTAGCCCTCCAAGTGGCATAAGAATGACTGTCAGAATAAATCAGTTTTACCAGGTGTTTCTAACACTCCATGGCCCTCAGCTACAACCTGTCCTCTGTGCTGCAGGTAGCTCACTAACTGCAAACACACCACTGAAGAGACCTTGATTACTCTAATTGCCTTATCATTCAACTTCCTCCTCTCATATTAAAGGGACTGAAGCCATTTAAAGTGGATTTAAGCTGGACTTTAAGCTGCCTGAAAAATGGTAAAAGCGTATACTTAAATGCAGTTTTAAGCAACACTATATTTAAATGGTTACACATATTTAATTTTCCATTATTCATGATATTTCCTGCAACCCAGAAGCAGGAGATATGTACAGCTCAGCTAATCCTGCCAAATGCTCTACATCAAAGATGAGAGACTAAAAACACCAACCTATGATAACTGTATTCAAAATTGAAAAACCTTTATTTGCGAATTCTTATTATGTGGCTTCTGTGCA